TTAACAGGCCAGAACACATCACAGTAATCTCATGAGTGGGTTCTTTAACTTACCCTGCCTAACCAAGTGAACTAATTAATAGATGTAGGAGATGGGACCTACAGTTTATTTGTCCTTATCCGAAAAGACTAGAATGTCTATCCATTTCTTGATATTATAGAAAGGTAGCACATCCTCCTCAGTTATTTTAAGACCTTGAGTGTTGGTCCGGCCAGAGCTCAAATCCTCGACCTCCCTCACAGAAGTTCAGCGCTCTAACCAATTGAGCAAACCGGGAGGCAGTTATTGCAAACCAATATACTAAAGAAAAAATGGTGAACTTCTCTGCTCAGGGTTTGAGGGGCTTTGAGGGTTTGATTGCAGTTCTTTGTACCTTTGGCATTTTTAAGTTTCCCCTAGACTTTTGCCCTCTTCTTTTCATTCTTCAGATGATCTCTAGTTCGTGTTAGAGACTGGTGTTTCAAAAAACTTGGCATTTCTGACATTTATACAACCTCAACTTCTTCCAAAGTTGTCAGAACATCGTTCACTGTGGCTGACAACAGTGCTCTTTAGGACTAATCTCTACCTGACAACTAGAAAACACAACCCAATGCCATTGTTAAAAATAAAATGTAGTTAAAAGTACATGTAAACTTTTTAGGTTCTCGAGTCTCTCAATAGGGTAGTCAATGGAATGGTATTTACCCTCTCCCCCCCGCCCCACCTTACTTGGGGTGAGAAGAAAGTCAATTATCAACTAGGATGAGATTCAGTTCTAAATGATCTGAGCTAGCAATGCATGAAATGTATGGCTGTCAGGAGAAGGGTATTTGATATGAAGATGTTACAAGTTCAAAGGCTAACTGCAGTTTCATACTCCTTGTAATCTTTGTTGATTTTTTCATCCACAGAACTAGTTGAAAATTTTGATGAGCCCTCAAAGGCAGAAGGAGTTTAAGAAGATAAGATGATCCCTCTTATGCTGACCACTGAAATCAGTGGACTGTTTTTTTTTTCATTTTTTTTTTGCCATTGTATATGTAATAGACAAATTTTCGTAGTGTCCTCTACACTCTTGGTATCGGGGTGTTGATGTGCCAGCGATATACTGGGTTGTCAATAAAACAATGGGAACTTGCCTCAATGGAGTGTTGGTTTTGTGGCATAAATAATATCCTGTATGCATTCCATGTTCACTAGAAAGTACCTGCTTTTTCTCGGAGGTGCTCTTTATGAAGTCGATATAAATCAGTGTGTTTTTGGACACACAGGTGTTGAGGTAGGTCCTCCGCTGTGTCAGGCCTGTGCCCCCTGAACCCTTTAGCTCCCAGAAGTGTTAGACATGTAACTTCTCCCCATAATATCCTTACATTATCCCATTATCCATCAAACAGGTAGTGAGAATACTCGAAGTTACAATGTATCAGTTAAAACTTGTTGTCTTGATGTAACACCAGGTTCTCTTTACTAATTTAAAGGGAATGCCGAGCAACTAGAGGGGAGAATTAACAATCAGATGGTGCCATTGAAAGGGTTCAGAGTGAATAAAGTGGCTAAATTTTTCTAGAGGAACTGTGGTGCTACGTCGTTGGGGGAAGTCTGACAAAATAATTGCCCCTATTTACTGAGTTATTATAAATTGGCCACCAGAAAGAGTTCTATAGATGACGTTTCGAGTGTTCCCCCTTCGTAAGAGCGATTTATCTGTGGCCTTCCTTGAACCGTGTCAGGTATATTGTGGTTAACGGTATTACACTATATCTGCACATGTGGGTTGGTTGGTTGGTCGTGAGCTGGTATAAGATGTCCACACCATTCATCTGGATTTTTACTTGCTGGGGAGTTTTATGAATGTTTCGCCCTAACGTAAGTTCGTTCTCTAATTTACCCCACAGTGAGCTTTTAAGTCTGCTCCTAACCTAACCAGTTTGTCCCAAAATTTTCAATTTGATTCCCAGAGACAAGTGACATTTCCTCTCGCACGAAATTGGATTACATTTAACTGCCAAACTGAGACGTTCGATTGTGTGAGCCAAATTCATGTAAATAGGCCCCCAATGCAATGTAACATCCTTTCACCTCGGCTGTGGATTAAATTTATGACAGAAGTCTAAAACAAGTCTCGTTATTTCTCGAATTTCGTGAGGCTCTCAATGGTGTTATCTGTTGGCCGTAAAACGGCTAAAAAATTTTAGGGTAAAGATTGACATATTTTAACCGTCAGTCGTTACTAAAAGTTAACCGTAAAAAAAGATTTTGGTGACAAAAATGGAAAGTTATTAACCTTTATCCGTAAATTGACCAAAATTTTGACAGTTAGCCGAAAAAGCAATCACCCATTGAGACCCTCCATCTTTCCATGCCTCCCTTTGAAAGCGTCTCTTTTTCGGTAAGGGATAGGGCGCATTACCCAATGACACAGAGGCGTAGCCAAGATTGTTTAAAGGGAGGCTGTTGTCGAAATATATTTAAAAACGTTATTGCAATAGACAGTCGGAGATAAGATTGTTCGACTTAGACACCACGAATAATCTTGGTCACGTTGACAGTTTTTTTTTTGTGATGAAATTCTGCCACCTCAAACGTATCGTCTGCCAGAGGGTCTCCATCTTGCCCACATGAGGCCTTTAATCGACCAGTGTCCTGCAAATTACTTGTTCGCCCTTTAAGTTCATGAGAGCACTTTGTCGTCGGCTCAATCGGCACACTTACATTTCTCACATCTGTAAAATTAAGAATAAAAGAGAGAAAAAATTATAGAAACACTAAAATTTACTAAAATTAAATGTTGTTCATAGGTTTTGCTAGCTCATTTATTTCCAAAGATAAAATGTAAAGTAAATGACATCTAAAAATGAACGATTAAAAAGATGCATAAATTAATAAATAAATGAATATGTAAAACATGATTGGCTGAATGAGTTAGATTGAAAAGAAAGAGGTAAAGAGATAAAAAAAATCAAATGAATGATAAATTAGGAAATAGATCAATATTGGTCAACCGGTAAGGAACAGATAGCAGTTAAGCAATCAAGACGACGACAACGGAGAAGAAAATGTCGACTAAAAAATGAATTTAAATTGATAGTAAGAATTTCATGAATGGCTGGATGTGTTTACTGTCTCTCACGGTGCCACACCCATCATCGGAGACCCAGGGGCCGAGTCGATTTCAAGTAAGGGCCCTTCATGCCCTAACTTGAAATCGACTCAGCCCCTGGGTCTCCGAGGATGTGCCACACCTCAACTTTGGCATCACTTATGTGAGCACCGTTGAGTTTCAAGTTTAAACTTAAATAATTGGCCGTCGAGGTTCCCTTTCCACCGGACAACGTAAATTTTGGTGATTTCACGTCGCTGTTTGGCAGAGGACTGCCAAGAAATGTACAGAGTTTTCAAATACACGTGCTGAGCTATTACTCGGATGACTAAATCTCTTGTTTTGTCACCCCCTCATTGCCGTTGCCGTCGTTGTTTGCTGAAGGTCCCTAGTGTTTAAAACCCAAGAGAATAAGAGTTCCCTTGCCAACAGGCTACATACCCTCTGAAAAAAGTGGGAATGGAATGGTGTCAATTATGTTCATCCGCCGGGCCTTTTTGATGGAGTAGTTTAGTTTAGTTTAGTTTATGAGCTTCGCCGACAGGCCAATTACTGCGGGCCCAGTAAGGCCACCCATCCCACCTCAGGTGAGAACATCCCCCACACAGTAATTTCGTGCGTTAGAAATGAACGTCTCCTACCCCTAACCCTGCAGGAGACGGGGCCTACGGTTTATTCTTCCTTGTCCGAGAAGACTAGAATATCTATCCATTTCTTGATATTGTAGAAAGGTAGCAAATTCTCCTCAGTTATTTTAAGACCATGAGTATTGGTCCGGCCGGGGCTCGAACCCTCGACCTCCCGCTCAGCACAATTAATCCGGCGCTCTAACCAATTGAGCTAACCGGGAGGCGGTTAGCAGCCGTGCAATTCAGAAGGAAGCTTGCAAAAGGTTGTATATAACCGCTTCCGTTAAAGCTAAATGTTATCTCTCCGAGAGGAACTGCGAAATATTTTTCTGGTTAGATGGGCACTTCCGCGGTTACTTTTTTTTTTAGACAGAAAATTATAATTAGCGTTTCCTTTCAGGATAAGACCTTGTGTAATCAAGATCATCTTTTGAATAGAGGACAAGTTACACTGTAATGATAATGGCAATTTATTTAAAGTCAATTACATAGTGGTTGCCCAGATCTCCCCAGCCAGAGGCTCATGACGAAAGTGATTGACAGAGAATATATAAAATGCATTATGTATATACAATAAAAAAAGAAAAAAAAAAAGGTTATTCGATAATAAGTATAATATATAATGTAACGTAATGAGTTGATGCAATTTATATATTGGCAGCCGGGAAAATATCGAGCTTGCTAATTGATCTACGAAAAAATGACACATTTTCAGCAGACTTTGCTGACGAAGGTAACTGATTCCAAATTCGACAAATAATATGTGAAAAAGAGTTGTGCATGAATTGAGTGCTATAAGATTTCTGTTCAACATTCAAGACCCCCCCGAACGTACGTTGGTGAGCAATAACAACCTCGTTCCCAGGGCCTTTTCCCTTAGCTGGGAGTGGGGCGGGAAAAGGAAACGCAGAATACACAGAAAACGCGGGCGTCCAAGTCGGGAGTAGTTTTAGTTTTGCATCTGATTGGTTCAGAGATTAGCGCGAGTTTCCTCAACCAATCGCAGAGCGAAGTAAAGCAAACGTTAGGCAATCCCGACACTTTATTGAAAATTTCTTTGAGCTACAGACAGTTTCTGTCTCTTATGTTCCGTTCAATAGATCATGGAAATATAATCAATCACAAAGACAAGAGAAAACATTAGCTGCGCCTAGCTGCAAGTAATACTGTATGCTTCTGTTTTGCCCGATCAACATTGGTTGTATTTTCTTATTTGAACCAAGGCTACCTGTCTTTTTATATTTTCTCTTTCTTCGCAAACTGGAACTTAACGACTGGTACAGTAAGCGTTAGTCACTCTAGATATTGAATCATCCACTCACTGCGCTTCGATTTGGCCAAATGGAATAAGTGAAGATATAAATAGATTATGAATGCAACAAAGAATAGCCGGCAGAACTGCGAAAAAAACAATGAATGAATGGATTATTAAGGTAACCTTTATTTTAGTCATGATTAGAATAGCGGAATCATAACCACTAAGTGAGAATTTCTCTAATAAATGCTAGATTTTGAAATAATTCAAACAGTCAAAATTTAATTTACATACTAAAATAAAATACAAGATTAATGCAAGTTATCACTGCACGAAAAAAAATGCATTGAGAATTTAATGAGACACAAGTTTTGGCAGACAATTTGTTGAAATAAGTACTAGTAAGCAGTAAACAAAAACAGATCTTGTCATTTTGACTTACATTCTCCGAGCGGTTTCGTTTGATCGCACAGACTTCATCAAGGGGAGTTTAATTTGAACGTGATGGTTAAGAGGAAATTATCTTTTAGAAGGTATTTTTTTACAAATTACAACCCACGTGTTAGCAAGGGTGAGAT